GACTGTTCAGCAAAATCCATCTCTCCTGCCTGTATCGCAGGGCACGCGCTGAGGGAGCACAGCTGGCAGGAACAGGCACAGGCACCTCACTGCGACAATTTGGCGTGGATGGCAGCAAGGTGTGCCCTGCTGCCGGGACGCCGGTGGCACAGCTCAAACGGACCGGCGGAGGGCAGTGCGAATCAAATAATGCGAAGAGGATGCACATGGCTCATCCTTTCCCTGAAAACGTACCGATGGGGTACATGGGACCAAATAAAACCCATTTTATGCCTTGCTCCCAGTTGCGGTGTACTCATCAAATGCCTACAGGCAAGACACAGATTCTTTATTGTTAATTAACGAATGCCTCCCCTCGCCTCCAAAACGTTTTGATTTGGTTGCACCAGAAATGAAACCATTAAGGAATATCAAGCTTATCTTTCTCTTTTGTAACTCCTCCTGCGGGTTTGGCTGTCACAAAGTATACACTGTGCATCTTAAGATGACTCTGGAAAAGAAGGTTTAACTTATATTGCAGTCACCTATCCACACCTACAAGATTGACAACTCTCCCTGAAGATTTTATTCCACGAACCTTTCAGCCTTCTTCAGCAGTGGCCATTTTATTTTTGGCAGCATAAAAAATCTAACCACTGTGCAGCATTCCTAAACTCTCCAGAGAATGGTAATTCAGTCTCAGTTCCTCCTGTCAATTTAGGGTCTGATCCAAAGCCCACTGAGTCAATAAAGAAACTCCTCTTTGTTCCAGCAGGCCTTGAATCATGCCCAGTGGGCCCCTTATGAACATGGAGAGCACATATGACTTAAATAATGAGTGTGCCTTTCACAACCAAATGATGACTACCCAGGCTGAGTTTCCTTCCAGATGCAGATGTTGAAATGTCAGGCTTTTATTCACGAACACATTTCTTCCTGAACATTTCATTGAAGAAAATAACACGATTGCTCAACAGGCTCAAGGGACGGCTCAGGGAACCTCAACACATTGCAAAGAGCCAGTCGAGCTCTCACAGGATTTGTAGTGACAGTCTTTGGATGGGAAGCTCTCAAATGATACAACCAGACTGGCAAAATAACACTTTGTGTAGTCCACAAAATAGAGGACACGGGCAGATTTCAGACAATTTGCACTGCTGAGATACCAGGTAGATGATAGCTTGTTCTCGCTAGAAGTGTCCAGGGAGGAAAGTACGCAACACATTATTCATTTATTTAAAAATATTTAACAGGAAAACTCCCAAGGAGATCAGATCTCATTTTCAAGTTTTGCATCAGATAGCAAAACCAGGACAAATAATAAACAGGATTGCAAACACAGAATAAAAATCAGTTAAGTGCTTTAGAAAGTATGACTACATCTGCGTTGCCTTTCACCCAGCAGCATGGTCCTACACTCAAACCCAGCCTTCTTTTCCCATTACACTGCTGGGACACAAAGTCAGAGAAAGACTGACTTGCTCAAGAGGAGTTTCTTTCTTGGCCAGACTGAGGAGATGTCTGTGATGTGGATGAACTTACATGGGACTACAAACCCAGGTCAGGACAGGACCTCTCCACGCGATATGGCATACAATGAAAATAGACAGCCCTGCTCCAAGCGCTTGCTCTCCAAGTACGAGACAAGAGCCTGCCCATGGACAGAAGCAGACAGAATAATATCAAGAAATAACGAGATGTTGCTCCCTACCACAACAGGTGAGTTATAACACAGATGCTGTCAACTGCTCATAGGCAGAAGGGCTCAGGAAAATTGTCAGTGGAGTAATGGGGCAGTTTCATGGGTGTTTTCAAGGAACTGCCCCTAGTGAGTGAGGCAGTGTGGGGAAGGTATAGAAGTGCTCACTGGGCAATGTAACGAGTGGACAAAGGAGGCTGAATCCCAGCTGATGGGTAGAGGGGTTCAACACAGTAATACTGAACAGAGATGATTAGGAGAGGAGAGCAGGGAACAAGCCAAATCCCTGTTACCAAGGGTTGAGGAAGCTGAGTGCTAAATATTACTCATTCTCACCATGCCTCAGCAGTGCGACAGATATTGAGAGCCTAATGAAACAAAAAGTTATACATTGCTTGAAATTCAGAGAAATTTGGTAATCTGCTTTCTCAGACCCCTTTCAAATAACAGCCAGAAAACACTAGAAATGAGGTACTTGCTGGTGGAGCTTGCTAGCTCTATAACGTTTAAGCAGCCACCAGCATCTTGGGGAGGCAATCTCTGTTTCTTTTTTGCTGTACATCAGCACTTGCTGATTTTTAAAAAGGAAGAAATGAACTTTACTCAGTTTGCTAAAATAATTTACTTTCTAACAGTGGGCCATGGCCTGAGCTGGCCTACAGTGGCCATTTACCAATGCACTGACATACACTGAGCCTACAACTTTTTATTGTTTTCTATTCAGTCATGAAATGATGGAGCCAATTCTACCCTCTCTGTCTTCCTGTGACTCCTTCCTTGCAGCACCCACTACTCCAACAAAAATGTCATCCCATCAGTAAGAAATCAACAATTTACTTGAAAATTTAAATACTGTTCAATTAGCAAGTTCTGGCCACTTTCAGTATAGGACTACTTGTGGTAAATCGTACGTACCTGCAGAACTGCCACTGTTCTTTCTGCAGTGCAATCTAACTTCTTTGAAAATCTTGCTTATTTACTTCTGTTCGTCATGCTAAAACAGTCAGGTCTAAGATGCTTGTTTACCAAAATGACAATCTACCTAACAAGTGTTATCTCAGAAATTCTTTTTCTGCTCTGCCAGCTTTGCTGTACCTTTAGGGAAAGCTTTTTCCACAGACACATATAATACCCTACTGAACTTACTTTTTACATCAGTTTCATGAACATCTTGCAAGTCCATTCTGCAAAGCTCGCTTCAGAATTGTTTTTTTTTTTTTTTAATTATTGCTACTGTATCACCAGCATCTAGCTTTCATATTGTGCGTTTTATAAACATATCAAGAGAGTGATATATTTGGGTTTAAACCTGACCTCAAGCAGTGTGAGACACAGTGAAACTTGCTATCAACTGAAGTATAAATCTCCATATTTTTGCACTGCTGTGAATAAACTCATTTAAAAACTCAAGAAGGCTGAATCAGCACAACTTTCTCCCAGAGATCAGCAGTAATGCTGACAGGAATTATACAATACAATAGAGTTATTTGAATTATGCACCCAACTTGCTAAACGCAAATATTGTATTAAGGTTGGAGGACTGAAAGAATGTTAAGAAATGTTAAGAATTAGGCTTTCTTTGGTGAGTCTTTAATTGCATTACTCTTCTCATGCTCCAGAAAGAAACTGGTACTGGGTACAGAGGAGCACAATGCTTGCAGTGCTCCAGCATTACATGTTGCTGATACTGAGATGCACATAAGGAACGAGGCAGTGAACAGAAGGGTGTCATGGTGATTGTTGATCACTGCCCCATGGAATCATACTCTTCACTGGGCCTTGCCACAGTGGTCTTATAAAACAGTGAGTAATTTTTTTTTTTTAATGTTCACAGACCAAAGACTGACATCTGATTTACAGAAACGCAGCATGCTCATAGCTGTAAGCTGTCGCTCAAATCTCTGGAGCTGTGCTCTGAATACTTAAAAATTCAAAGTATTCTTGAAAAATCAGATCCTGGATGTTCTTTGTCAGTCATCCCTAAACTGCCCTTAAGCTCTCTCAGACTTGACTGTCCTTAGATAAATTTGTCTTAATGTTATTTCAATTCCCACAGGTCTTGTTCAGATAAACTCACTGCTGTTTGTCAAGTGCTCATATGCAGCCTGGATACCTCCACACAAATTCACTGCAAGATGAGGATGCTAGATCTAGGATCAAGTATTGAGTGAAAAAGTACTGACTAACTGCATTCTGCAAGAGACACGGGTCCTAAAGGAGAAACAATGGCTGACAGAAGGATTACAAGTAATATATTTTGGCAATCACAGATGAACAACTGACCACATCAATTTTGCCATCTCAGTTCTAGCATTTTCCAATTTGTAAGTGTTCATCTTCACAACCTGCAGTGAACAGAGGTTGTTATACAGGTAATACAGACATAATATTCACAGTTAATTTGCAAAATTACGCACCCTATTGTGGGACTGTCACCCCTGCCTTGCATAATCATCAATATTTAGATTCACAGTCCAGGTCTTTTCCTATAAAAGCTCACAGAGAGGGTCCTGAAAGACAAAGCTGTTACCCTCTATGCAGATCAGGCACTCAGAAGAAATCATATAGCACAAGAATATACTTTGCCACTGGGTTCTCACTACGTGCTCGTAACAGAAATGTAGAGTTAGGAACCCAGGGCTGATTTCAAGTGTTGGAAAGGAGTCAGTTGGCATACACATACTTATTTTTCTGTTGCTTGGGATTTGTCTAAAGCAAATCAAGAAAACAGTATTAAATCATTGCTGACACCAGGATGAATCTTCCTTTGAAACCCAAGCCCTACTTCAAAGCATGCCCTTTTCAAAGTTTCTTAACACAGTAGTTGAAAACTCTTTTTTTTTGCTTCTAATAGGATAAACAATGTTATCCGCAAATACAGAAGGATTTTTTTTTTTTAATTCAACTTGAGGCAAACTGCCAGCATGAAAATTTTCAGCTCAATTAATCAAAGTTTAGAAAAAATTACAAACAATGGAAAAAAGTTTTTTAACAGCAAATGGTAATGAACTTTTATTCCAGCAGAGCTTTCAATTTGCTCTACTAGCAAGTATTCTACTATTGGGGCATAAACGTCTACGATTTTAGCAATCCAAAATTTCAGTTGTAATAGGAAAAAGAATTTCTAGTGCAGGGAAAGCACTAGAAGTGCTTTGATTCAGGTTGGATGTTAGGAAGTATTTCTTCTCTGAAAGGGTTGTCAGCCACTGGAATAGGCTGCCCAGGGAGGTGGTTGAGTCCCCATCCCTGGATGTGTTTAAAAATAGGGTGGATGAGCTACTTGAGGATATGGTTTAATGGGGATTAGGGATGGTTGGACTCGATGATCTCTAAGGTCTTTTCCAACCTAGAAATCTATGAACAGACACGGGGCTGTGAATCAGGATATATAGATTTCGTTGCTTGTCCTGCTGCTCATCTGCTCCTGGGGTTTAGAGAAAATCCTTACTTTACTTTTTTCTCTGCACTTCTCTTTGTCTTTTCTAGTTAGGTTTTAAGCTCTTCAGGACAAAGACCATCTCTTACTAATTTCTGCATACCAACGTTCACAATGGTCCCCTGCAGATCCCATAAGCATTATCAGAATACATGCATTAAACCACAGTAACTTTTCTATTTTATTTCTGATTTTTAAAATTCTTCTAATAATGAACAAGTTTAATGTAACACACTGCTTTCCATGGGCTACATTCCCTACAATTCCTGATGGTAACAAATACTTGCTTGCAGTATTCTTTTTGACCGTTTCCATCTCTAGAACAAAAAACCACACCTTATAGCACTTTGCAAAGAGGTCTGTGATGTGTTCCCAACTAATGCAAGACAACAGCAGGTTAAGCCTTCCCTGCCTGAGGAACAGGTATCTCTTTCACATTTACCCTAAATCTTAAGACACTGCAGAACCACTGCAGTTCTCCTGTGCAATGGGTTAAGTCTGAAAGGGCACCAAATGGTAGACACATCTCAGAGACAACAGAAAAAAGAAAACATTTCTATTTGGTATTTGGCATCCAAGGGTGGCGGAGCGGGCAGCTCACTCTGTTTCCTAAGCAGTGCTGATAAATAGTAGTACACATCACTGAGCTTTAGGTCATTCTGTAAGTGATCCTCAGCCACGAGCCTTCTCAGACTCCTGGATCAGTGACACTTAGTGTTGGTTTCTACCAAGACCCACACTGGTGCACCTTTACCTTGATAGAGCAATGTAAATGGATTGAATTATGGTTATAATTAAGCATTTGTGTTTTAGGGAGAGATGTATTTGTAGATTCAATTCATACCTGCTCCAGGGGAGGAAGGTTCAAACATACTAGATGTATCACTGCATGTGTTGGAAGCTTGCTCCGAGAGCTTCTTTTTTGCACTTCCATCTGCAGATTTATGCGACTTCTTTTTATTCTTCACCAGAATTTTGTACATTAAATCCATAGGGCTTGGAAGAGGAACCCCAGGTTCAAGCTTGCAGAAAAAGCAAGAGAAATTTGTTACAACAACAAAAGAAACAAGCTTATGGCAATTCCTTAGGGCCCACATGGGGCAAGATAATTTCATAACCTCTATAAGCCCTGTTAAAATGAAAGTATTTTGCAGAAGAGGTAACTTCAACATTATATGAAATAGGGCTACTGAGGGCACTTAAGAAAAGAAAAATGCCTTATGAAATGTCTACAGTCATAACCAAAATAAGTATGAGTTCGAATATGAAAGCCTACATTATCAAACTGCAGCTACGTGAATCAATTGCATTCAGAGGATTACAATTCACTGTGTCACAACAATCTCTGCATCAGAAATTATATTCTTAAATCACCAACAGCTCACGTTGCTTAACCCTCTTCTTTAGGATCTGTTTTGAAAGGCTGTATATAAAGAATGACACAGGATTGAAATACTTAAATAAAAATTCACACAGATATTGTGATCTGATAAATATCAAACCATATTACCGGGTATTTTTCCAATGGATCCATAAGCAATGCATCTCCGAATATTAATCTGCAGTACTCTGCCATTTTTGCCTGTTGTTTAGGGCTAAGGGAGAGAAAAGAAAGAAACAAATGAGTCCTACTAATGCTACAGAGTGAAAGCAGCAGTAATGGAATATCTAATATCCCTAAACTAGATATAATTTCCTGATCCAATTGCTGTGAATTTTTCAGAGGGACCTAGATATATCATGTAATTATTGTGATTCCTCTGATAGAGCTTATCAAAAGGATCACACATGAAATAAAGGCATTAGTCAATTGAATAACAGTAAAATCAAAATTTTAATATTGAGATATATTTTCTCATGCACTTAGTAGAAAATAAAGAGGCTGTCAGTTGTTACCTTTAGGGAAACAGTGGTTACGTGAATCTACCTCTTTCAGGCAACTTTTTTATTAAAAGTTTAAATATTTTCCTTCTCATGTTACTTTGTACACCTGCCTGGCATTCTTCTGACCCCTGCCCCCACAACCCCACCTGGATTTTGTTTTCTTTTTGTCATACCTAACCTGAAGCATAACCCCCCAAACAGTCAGACAGCCGTCTCCTGTGCAGCTATGTCTGTTACTCTTCCCAAGCCATGGGTACCCACCACCTCACTCAGCATGTCTACAGGGCACAGCCACACAGAAGAAGGGGCAGAAGACATTTGGGTCTCAAAACCAGCAAAGCTGCTTCAGTTACAGGCACTGCTAGAGAAACACTTAGTTTTACTGCAGATTTCTAAAATGCTGTTAGTTTTACTGCACATTTTCTGCAAAATGCAGCCCTCTTTCCCCCTCTGTGTTGGCCCATGTGAGGTGGGTGCTGTGCTTGTGCAGCATGACAGCCCGTCCAGCCACAGCCCTGAGCAGCTTCACCTCCGCACCGCGCTCCGCGGCAAAGCCCTGACCCATCCTCCGACCTCCTGGGCTGAGTTTGCACCAGAAGCGTGCAATGCCCTCGCCAGCTCACTGAGCAGCATCTCCCCTGGCATGTTCTCACTGGCAGAAGTCACAGCGTAGATGTAACTGTGCTACTGCTAAGAGGCATTATGTCAATTTGGAGAATTGCTGCAAGAAGTGCTGGTGTAACTGCATTTTATATGCATATAATTACATGCTGCGAGCATTTGATGTGTCTATAACTGAGACCAACATATCAGGACAGACTTCTTAGTGGCTATTTGGATGTAATACCAAGCTGCTAGGTGGAGCTGCTGAATGACCATCTCAGCTTGTTTGGGCACGTGGTCAGATTCCTTTTTTAAAAATTATCAATTTTTATTTAAAATCAGACAGTGTGTCAAATTTTACCATAGTAAATTACTTCAGTGGTTTTCCTGACATCCTCTAGAAGTAAACTGAACCTCAGTAAACCCTACTTACAATCAATTTTCCCAAAGTGCAACTGAAGAAGTTGAAGATTCCTGCGCATAAGTGATGGAAACTTCAGGACTGAAGACAGGTTATACTGCTCAGGAATATTACTCAAATCATCTTAAAACGCAGCTCAGTGCTACAGTCACTCTTTCTAATTTTAGACAACTGTGCATTTTTTCTATATGTGCCTGTTTAAAACCTGTAGCATCTGAGACTAGCTATCTTTAAGTTTCATTTTTGATGCTCTGTTGTTGAGAAGTCTCTATTGAAGGACAGGTCTATATTGCTTACTAGAACTTCCTCAACCCTGTTAATTATGATCTGCATATCACAGAAGATGCATGAACGGTATAAGCAGTTATGTTACCATGGAGCTACTTTTCATGACAAAATAGAGCTGAGTATACAGGAAAAAAGGAGTGCTCATTTTTTTTCTTGCAAACTAAGAGTGCAACAACCGTTACGTCTAGTTTGTCATTAATTACCAGAGCACCTGGCACTGGAGCTCTTCCTGAGATCAGCAAGGCCAAACCAAGAGCTGAGATAAAGGCTGGGTGGTATTTGAATCAGAAAATGTAATTTCCCTGAGATCAGCATTCTGAACGTCCCTTGAAGCAGATATGGGGTGAATCGGTCATTAGCTCAGTCATTGACAAAACATACTGCGAGGAGGCTTTAAATTTTTCCACGAAGCTACGCAAGCAACGCATGCAGTTTAAATCACGACAGCGTTTCACTAATGCTTTCTTTTGCGTGCAGCCAATTCTGCAAAAAAGTTAAGAGCCACTTTTAGCTGAGGATGGAAAATTAGGATGAAGGCAAGCAAGGCAATGGAACTAAGAACCCACAAGGGAGAAGGTGATGGGAAGAACAGATCAGGCTGCGACAGCATGTTATCTATTTCTAACTGCCAGCTACCAGGGAAAATAAAGGCACTTCACTCCAGTAAGCAAGTGGACGAGGTATTTGCTATAGGTCTAGGGGTGATCATAGTGAATTTTATTTCAGCGTTCTCCACCAGGGTGTATTTTGAACAGACTCATGCTCTTAGAACCCAGAAAGTTCAAAGGACACCGCCTTGAATCAAAGGAGCACAATCATTGAAATCTTAGTAATTAGATGTGACATCAGCATTTTTAAATGGGCACATCAATTTCAAAAAGAACTCTTGATAGGACATAAAAAAAAATATGCAAGATTTAAATCTAATAAATGTCATACTATCACCACAGCTAGAACAAATTCATCTGATCTTCTGTGTTTAATTACATGTTTACCTCAAAGAGAGCACAGTGAGAACTTTCATTTTTGCAAAAGGGGAAAACGTAATCCAACATTATTTTGATTTGGCTTATAAATTCCAATGTCACTGTATCCCAGAGGCAGAAAGAAGGAAAAGGAAAATCATGTGAAAAACTAAGGGGTTTTAATACTATAAAAAAATCTTGCAGTAGTAGACAAGGCCAAAGTAGGAAAATCTTGACATTACAAAATTACTTGACTTTGTGAACTGGACTATACGCAGAGATATTTTTTAAAGCTCCTAAGATGGAATAAAACATATTTAGAAGTACCAGCATTTAACTGAGTGGTATTTTTTATGTTCTCTCTCTCAAATATATATAAATACATAAAATCATGGAATGGGTTGGGTTGGAAGGGACCTTAAAGACTCTCTAGTTCCAAGCCCCCTGCCGTGGGCAGGGACACCTTCCACTAGAACAGGTTGCTCAAAGCCTCATCCAACTTGGCCTTGAACATTTCCAGGGATAAGGAATCAACAACATATACTGTTTCAAGAGATAGATTATTAGTAACAGTATAGATTATGTATTAATATTATAGTATTTTAAAAGTTGGAATATCAGTTTCATTTTATTTTCTCTTCTTTCAAAACTATGAACCAGAACAATAGATTGAAATATCAACTTTTCTGTATCAACATATTTCCCCATTTGTGTTATGAAACAAAACCCAGGTATTTCCTCGTCCATATCCACTGTTACTGGAAATTCTCTCAGCATTCACGTATTGTAATAAAAATTGATTGCCACAAAAGACCTGACTTTATCTGCTTTATGATTTTCACTGCGCAGACATGGACGGGTAGCACATAGACTAATAATATACGCCCTGAAAACGTGACAGGGAAAGGCAAGATAAAGGGGAAATATGATACCTGGAGATATGGAAATAAAAGAATACTAAGAAATGTTTTCATTACCATTACTGCATTGCTTGTACTTCGTTTTCCTGTGTTTGTATTACACCTATTACGAAGGTCAGTCACAGAGGCTCTTTGGCACTACTGCATGACTACTGCTCCTAACATTATACTATTACCACTTCTGCAGAGATTCTTTTTCTGCATAAGACAAAGACACAGAGGCTTCCCAGAAGGGTCTAAAATAATTTAAAGTGCAGGAAGAAAAAGTGATAAAAATCCTGTTAATATTTGAAATAACAATTCCAGCAAGAAACCAGCAATATGAATAACTGTAATTAAATTTAATCTTGGAAGCAATCTTATAGGGATACTGCTCAAGGATCACTTAACCTTTTTGCTATGTCATCAGTGCATTTCTAATTATAGAGTGTCTGCTTTCAGATTTGCAGATTGCTTATCTTCTTGCAAGCCCAATTTCAAACGTCAAGGTCTTCTTGAGGTCTTTTCAACATTTTCAGGGCACTTTTCTATTTTTTGATAGAACCACATCTTTTCTTAGTACTGTCTTTTCGCAGTGTGCATGTTTTGACTTCAATATAAATGATGGCATACATAGTATTTTATATATTCTAAAAGTTATATGCTCTTTTTCTAAACTTTTTATTGCATAAAAACAGGCAAGAATGAATATACTACATAGTGGAGTTAAAGTGTTCAAGGCCAGGCTGGATGGGGCTTTGAGCAACCTGGTCTAGTAGGTGTCCCTGCCCATGGCAGGGGGGGTTGGAACTAGATGATCTTTAAGATCCCTTCCAACTCAAACCATTCTATGGTTCTATGATCCTAAAGGAAATAAAAAATCTTCAAATGCTTTAAAGATATTAGAGAGGGGTTCTTCTAGGGAAAACACTGAAAGAAGGCAAAATGAGATGATTAACACTATCTGCTAATAAGTGATTTGTTCCCTAGGTGGAACAAACAGGAAGTCCAAAATATTCTCATCAACATAAACCAGAAGGAAGAAAAATTTGCATTTTAAGTCCCCTAGTGATTAACACTGTCACATCTATGTTGGTGATGTAAAACTTATTTACCTCTGATAATCGCAGTCTATTTAAAAGCCATGAATATAGAACACAGGCTAAATCCATATTTCTGTTTAAGCTAATGCCAAAATTTCCACTGATTTGTACAGGACCAGCATTTCACACATGAATACTGACTCTTGTAACTCGAAAAAAAAAAGAAAAATTTGGTGACCCAAGAGCAGAAGTTGAGGTCATAGGATTTGTTTGACAGATATTCCATAAAAACACTTAGCATTTCTTGTTAATACTCAGGGCAAAGTCCATCTTTTAAGATATAGGAGAAAAACAACTCTCCAAGTAAATGAAAAGACAAAAGGAGCATTCCATGAAATTAGGTGAAGGTTTCTGTGAGTGGCATGACTAATTGCAGATTTCGCTAGGAACTAGTGAAGAAATGAAGAGATAATTGTAGTAGTTGGTAAAGTAACTAAAAATTATTTTCAGCTGAAGCAAAATTAGAAATCATACACTTTGATGATTTACTGCAGCAAAAAATAATAAATAGCAGTAAAGTAGACTTGCTTGGCTAAAAAACTATATCATAGCAATGCATGGAAAAGGACATCAAATAATACACTTCAGGATAATTCGTTATTCCATAACTGGAGTTTTCTGAAGAGAAAGGTCCAATAGCTTCGGTGGGGCAAATCGTGAAGACTGGAGTGATGCAGCAGTAGCTCTGTTCCCTTTTTGACGTGTTCCTGCAGTATCACACCACCTCTAATTTTGACAATGTTTCATCTTACAGTTTTACAGCCACTTTTGTATGTAACTTACATCTGACAGGAGTTTATATAATACAATTATTTACTTCTTTACTTGCCTAAAATAGAACAGATCACCCTGGAATAGTTGAAGATTTAAGTCTTAATGACTTCAAAGGAAGAAAAATGTAACCCTTCTGATTAAAATAAAATGGATGTTGCGTCTTCTCTACCTTAGAGTAACACAGTGAAAATAAGAAAAATAATGAAGAATTAATATTAAATATAATACATCAAAGAACAATGGTTGAGGTCTTTTCTTAAGACCAGAGTTTGCATTTGGAAGCACTGAAAAAAGCACTGTGAGTTAAACCCTACAGCAACAGCTGTCCAAATTGATATAACTTACACCAAAAAGAAAGGAGTGAGGAAACCGAACAGAGAAAGAAATTAAATACAGTATTTGTGTGGTCTTTCAGAGGAAGATAGAACTAACTAAGCAGGATTTAACAGGCAGCTGTTTGAATCATAACCACGTGGCCTTTAAATGTGCACAGAGAAGCACATATTTGCCCACAAAAGGTAAAACTTATACTGTAAGGTACAGAGGTAATGTAGGTCAGCTCTCAGATTTTAATTTTTTCTACCTACATAATTTTTGATCAGTATTGTCACATCTGTTCTTAAAAACATTCTTACATAGCTTCTTCTACCAGTTCCTTCCCTTATGACGAGAATGTTCTTCCTAAAACAATGGAAAAGCAGTTAGCCCTCACCCTTTTCCTCTTCAAGAAGCAAAAGTGCCAACATCTTTTCTGATTTGTATTAAATCATTCGCTGCTGCCCCAAAGATTATTTTTTATTTCACATTAAAAAAAAAATAAAAGTTTCTCAGTCCAAACCAGCCCCAGAAGCATTGAAAATGTTTTCACAGCAGAAAACAAAAGAGGAAAAGGCAACTGAAGTTAAGGCACATGTTATGTTTCAACGCCACTCCACTTCGAACCACGCGGTCTCTATATTCAACACCAAAGTTAATGTCAAACTTAGAAAAATCAGAACTAAACCAATAATAATAATAATTAGATCACCGGGACAAATTTAAGAGTGTTCTCACTTATTTTTTTCTTTTCTTATCAGAAAAATGTCTTTTCTTGTAATTAATAGAAAAGAAAAGAAAACAACTTAGTCAAACTGGTATTTTTTGGCAGAAACAGAACAGTTCCTGGCCTTTCATACCACTGATTTCACAATCCTGGCTGGTCTATGGTTCTGGCTTCTACTTCTAACACAGAAGAAAAAGACCAAATTCTGTGCATAGAATATGCTTATAGCCCAGAATAAGGTCATCAACAGGTGAAAAATTGATTCTTTTTCTTTGGTGAAGTACTGCTGCATTCCAGCAGGACATACTGAGACTGTAAAGGTAACAGAATTTGTCTCATAATTATTCAAACTTTCTCTTTCATACAAAAGATTCTACTTCAGGAAGGTTTTTAAGAACAGGCCTGATTTGTTCTGATCATCTCAGTTACTTAGCTTGATGCAAGTTTAGTTTTTTGGGGTAAGAGCTGTTGATCACGTCATACAAAACTGCCACAAGTGCATACATAATCCCATGCTTAGACTTTATAAAAAAATATAACACCATACAGGAAAACATGGTAATTACTTACGAGTCCACATGATTTTCAAAGGAAAGAAGGATTGGAAAGGGCGATGTCTTAAATGCACATTCAGCAATAGCTTCTATTACTTCCTAAAGAATCAAAATAGATACAGTTACAAATTTATGTCTCTAAAGAAACAGCATTTTCATCTTTAAAGACAGAAAAGGTCTGAAATCATCTGAAATCGTACTCAAACTGTCTGAAATCAGACTTTCTGTTCTAAATATCCCAGAAAGGTCTGGATGTTCTTTTGCAGCAACTGAATTTTTCAACCTAAACTGTAATCAAATCTTCAAAACGTCTGATGAGCCTCAAGCATCGCATTTCTCAAGAAATGACTTATGTCTGCCTAAATCAATAGTTTAAATGTAAAACTTGGTCTTTGTGTGGAGTTGTTCCATGCCTGAAGCTATGGCTTTCATGAACTATTTTGCATAATAATAAACGTGCTCTGACAAATGCATATCTTCTAAACATCATCAACACAAGCACGTATCCATAAAATCCTTAGTTACTTTGACTCATGAGTTTTAGTTCCCTCTTTTTTTGATGACAGAAATCCCTTTAAGGCAAAAAAAAAAAAGGAGAAAAGAAAAAAGAAAACACATTACTCAGTTAAAAACACTTGGCTGAGTAGGAATCATCAAACAGAGGGCCCAGAAACCGAAACTTCCATAGAAGTTTCCTTTCAGCTCTGATGGAAAATGACAACTGTAAATCTAGTAGACATTGATAACACTAATTTTAGTGGGGTGCACAATATAGTGATGCACTCATTGTTACAAATTATTCAATGTTTCCTTATTGGAACACATATCTTTTTTGAAAAGAACTTGTAAAACACTGGAGACTTTCCGTATGCATTGCTGCCAAACTCTGGAGTTTAGAAGAACCCATAAGCCTGTTCCCACCCAAATCATAAGGATGACTAAAACCTAAAAGATTTATTTATTTTAAACAAGCCTCCTCTGGGGATTCCTTTTGTTCAATTTCTGTACTTGTAAAGGCTCAACTGAGAAGCCTAACAGTAAGAAATCCACTTCCTAAAATGAAAGCTGAGCTTCTGGTACATTCTTCTGATGCTGAGTTGCAGAATCCAGGCTGGAAGGAAAGTACAAGCCATCTCCAGATTTGCTGATATGAGCTAGGATACAAACAAAATTCACAATCTTCATGTGAGCAGAAAAACACACAGCTCAGGCACAAATTGTAGTAGTGTCTCTTATGAGAAACCAGCGCTCTCGGCACACATAGGTGCTGAATGACTATATTTAATAAACTGCATTCGCCAAATATTTAAACGTTTCACATATCACTAACCATTCATGTGCTTCTCTAGTCTTTAAAGAAAGCAGAAAGGCAAAACATGTACTGGAAGAACAGTAAATGGTGCAGAAGGCTGGGCGAAGGCAGGTAAGAAGCTGCAGTTTCACAGCAGTGGGAACACACAATGGAGTGATTCCCGCTGTGCACTTTCTTTCCAGCTCCAGCAAATCTCCAAGTGCTGGTACCACCTTCATGCTGTTCAGAACCGGTGAGATCCGCAAAAGCATCTGAGGCAATTTTGCCACTACAAGTGAACAGCAGTGCTGAGAATCAGGTTACAAGTAGTGAGTCCTCCCATTTTGATGCTCTCCACCAAGATCATTAGCATTGGCTTGGTCTCCAACCACCTGCACCCTCTCCTTGGTTTTGAGCATCATGCAGGGCTTAAGAACACCTGAGGCTCGATATAAGACGTAATGCCAAAAGCAGTCCTGAGGCCTTTCTTGCTCCTATACACTGCTCAAGCTGTGGAGTAAATCCATAAATTTATTTTCAACTGCCTTTTAAACTGCAAAAAGGGATGAAATCCAGCATGCATGCAGAAAATAACCTGAAAGAGTAAAATCAGGATTACACTGACGAAAGCTGAGGATAAGAAGCTCAGGCATTGGTTCAGTGAAGAAACAGGTATGCTGGTGATCCAGTCTCGGACTGCATTCAAATGTAAATGCAAATTCTCTATGGTCAGACAGGAACAACACAGTAAGGTCCATACTATACTCCACCTGAAAAAGGTCTCCAAGGTGTATATATAAAGTATACATGCACGGATTCCTCGTTATGGCATGAAAAATATTGTTGGTTCCCTATAAGATCTCACCCTGGTAGCAGCTCACAATCTGCAGCTGAGAAAAACCTTACTGATTTCTGAATGTCATGAAGCAAGGTAAAAATCAATCAAAACAAAAAACCCACAAAAATCCCAGTAACATAATGATGGGGAGTTCATATTGCTTCTGTCTCTGCACTTTGGAAAGCCTGTCTGAGGCAGTGCAAACTGGCAGACCGAACACAAGCACTGTGTGCTGTGGTCATGCCAAATGCATGAGCTGATAAATGATTCAGCATTCAAGATCCAGTGATCCCTTTGAATTGATTCACGCACTCCTGACACATTATTTCACTATCATTTTGCTCCTCCTCAGCCAAGCAGCACACTTTCAGTGTCAAAAAGAAACCAGCAGTTGATACAGTTTTACATTTTCCTGTGTGGAGAAAAAGTATTTGCCCTGAAGTGATAGACAAAATATTCCTGAGTAGGTTTAAAATACCTCCCAATATCTCTCCTGCAAACACAATGCCGAGGGTGGAACA